GGCTTATTCCTTGCTACACCGCCCAAAATGCAACTTGCGCGCGGCGAAATGCAACTTGCGCGCGGTGAATTTTGGGCGGTGTAGCAAGGAATAAGCCTTTCCCACGGTCCCGTACTAGGACCCCCGTGCAGTTTCGGGCGGGGAAACCACGACACATCGACAGCTGGGGGGCTGTTAGTCTCATACACCCTCAATGTGTTTGAGCGTACCATGTGTCTTTAAGCTTCTTGAGGCGCAGCCGAACGTAACCACCAGTAAGTTGGCAACCTCTCTAGGCTCCACCTGACTGACAACTGCCATGCTTCTCCGCAATCTCGGTTATCGGAAAAATTTTTTGTGAAGGATGCCTCATGAGTTGGACCCGTCTGACAAGTCATACCGAATGACCGTGACTGAGTTTTCTTTTCCTTGTACACAGCGAAAGAACTTTTGTGAGATCTTGTGGTTGGTAGCGAGTGTTGGAGTCCTTGCGTACATCATGCACATGTCCCTCGCAGGATCTCTCAAACAGTAAAGTAGATTGCTTAGCCAAAAGCAGATGTGCATGGGATAAAGATTTCAGTGTGTTATTGGTGGGACTTCGAAGCGGTATCAGCTGGATACCAGCACAGCTATCGAAAATCGGCGTATTCTCGGAAATGAGGTCCACCTCTTCTTTTTATCATAGTTGCCGTAGTTCTATGAGAATGGAAATGAGAAGCTGCGCAAAAGATGGGCACTAGTCCTAGTCATCAAGTGTTGTTACCTTGTAAAAAGGAGGTGTTTTTTAGAAAGAGGAGGTGTCTTTTAGTGAAGGAAAAATCTGGTCCGAAAATTTGGTCAAAGTCGCACGACTTTCCGTCCAACCTAATAGTTGTTCCTTTTTCGTTGTTTGAACTCGACTTGTAAACTATAAATGTTTTGGAAGTTGGAACAGTTTAACCAGTACAAAATTTCAAGACACTCATATAAAATGAACAAACGAAAACGATACAGGAAGAAACTCACCTATTAAATGAAGTTGCCCTTATCCCGACCTCAAAAAAGGTGAAACCCCCTTCCTCATATTCCAGATCCTCTTGATAGAGAACGTTTCCAGTTAGTAGCCATACTAAGAGAAAAGAAAAAAGGTATCAGAGCGAGCGGTCCAAGTAGTAGCGTTGAGGCGCGCTCTTACCTGTACCGACGATCGCGGCGATCGCTACAATGGCTACGATCGCCGAGGTCGCCGCGATCGCCGCTGCTGTGGCGAAGTATGAATGCTGCCTTAGGATGAAACTGAACACTCGTCTAATGATCTGTCTGTTATGCGGTCTGTTATGCGTGCAGTCCGCGTAGAGTCTAATCTTCCTCTGAGAGAAAGTTGCGGCGTTCTGCAAATGCAGTTGCGGCCTCCCTGTAGTACTCTTGATGCAAAGTTCGCTGGCACCCGAAGCATGTTGCACATCGTAGAGGGTAACTATTATGCAAACTGCGACACACAGTTTGATAAGGCAACCCTCGAATGCGTCACGACATTAGTTTAGCCGTTTTTTTTGACATAATGAAAATTCCAAGAATGACAGCTTTGAAGGGTATCAACGTAATCCCATAATCTAAAGAACTTAGACAAAAACACGGTTTCTTGAAGACATTCATTCCTGTGGATATTGTTCCTCTCCACGGGTGAGGTGAATGGGGTGGTTATCTCTCCAATCAATAGTGCTGGAGACGCGGTAGAAGGTAGTGATACCAAGGTGCCAACCAGGTGGTGTCGGAACTCCGTCTGCGCTTCAGCACCGGAAGCCAAACGCTCAACCAAGTACGAACACGCTACTTGTCTAGGCCTTCTCACTTATAGCTGTTTTCTAGCGCGGGTTTCGCTCTAGGATCCTCATATCGACGCAGGTGCTGAACCGTGAGAATAGCGCGGAGGAGTTCCAAACGACACCCGGGTACCACTACGCTTCGGCCTCACTTCCGAGCGCTCTCAATAAGCCGAAAAAGTTATATTCCTACAACAGCTCTGCCGTTCTTCTCGCACATGGCAAGGACCGTCCTCGGAGTGAGTGAACAGTTCATCTTTTGTTACGTACAGTCGTCTAAATTCGTAGCGGGCTAGTAAATTGCGCCATAAAGATAAAGCTTCCATCATAGATCAGACCATTTCTAATATGCGCCACGTAGTCCGCCTCCATTCAGGATCGTAGCGGCTAGCGGCTTTTTAACTGCGTCATGGCTTATAGCACGACTTGCGAGGTCAGGCGACGTATGCGTCATTGCTGCTACCTTCCCAGGCAAGCCTGACAACAACTCCTTAGAATAGGGAGGAAAGACTGGCCGTCCCAGGCGAGAGTCGACTCGACCTTGGACTCTAGCGACCGACTGCATGCGCCGAACTTGATGTGCATCACTCACGCCGCGCAGTTGGGTAATGGGGGCGGGGAGGGGGGAAAAACGGAGCGGAGGGGATCATTTGCACTTTTGCTGTCTCATTGTCAACGCACTTCACATCGGCGTCACGCTACCAAGTGGAGCGTCAAATTTTGTGAAACCACGAAATGATACCACCCCCAAAGTTTGTAGAGGCCACTTGTCAACTCTTGTAAAGCAATGAAATGCCATACAACTACCAATTCACTCGTTTCTCGACCAGCTCGTGCCAGCCTCACAAAAGTCCACAGGGCCCCACCAGAGCAAGATTAGTGAACCGGAACTACTGGAGCAGCGAGAGCGCACAATGAATCCCTCCATCGCCGAACCGCGCCCAATACATGACCACATATCTCTAAACAAGGTGGCAAAAGAAATGGCAACTCTCACCACAATTATGTGATACAAAGGATTGCGATTGTTGACTTCGCCGTCGTAGTGATGACGAGCAACTCTGAGATGGCTACGTATCTGCGCTATCGTTTTGCAAGGTAAAAGCATTCTCTGCACCCAATATAATCTGAAAATATCAGTAGCGTTATTACTAATCGCAATGACCAAGTCAGTCCCAAAACGTGAATTGAAAATGACACTTAGCAGGTACCGTCCATAAGGATCCTGAGAACTGGAATGAGGGAGATGGCGAAATTGTACTAGAGCGTGAG